GAGGTGGTATCTCTACGGAAGCAGATTGCCCAGTCTTCCTTCCAAGGAGTGGCTGGTGGGTTTGAACCACCAGCCTTCTGGTTAGCAGTCAAGTGCCTTAGGCACTACTCCAGAGACCATGGAGATAAAATGCTTTAAAATTTATAGTATTTTGTGTAAACATCATAAATTATTATTATCTGTAGACAAACTATGTTCATGTTTCAAAAGGTCATTAATAAGTAACTTGTTCAGGACACTGAAGATGTGGTCTCATAGAGGCAATGTTACAAATGGTGATTAGCTGCATCAAACCAAACCTGTTGTTGTCATCTAGTGCAACTCATAGTGACCCTACAGCACCGAGGAGAACTGCTCCATAGGGTTTTCTAGGTGGTAACCTTTATGGAAGCAGGCTGCCCCATCTTTCTCCTGCAGAGCACCTGGTGGGATTGAATCACTGACTTTTCAGTTCACAGCCAACGACTTTAAACTCTGTGCCACCAGGGCTCCTTTTAGTTGCACTACTCCATTTAATTCATAATATGCCTAAATCATAGTGTTATTGGTACTAATCCAGGCTTACATAACTATCATGTACATGGGTAGCAGCCAGAGGTTAAGGCAGGACAATGAAGAGAGTGAGATAAGGATACAAAGATGGTCGTGGGTACTGGAACTCAGATTCTCTTTTCTTTAGCTTCCCTCTAAGTCAATTATTCTGCAAGTGTTCTGAGGAAGGTGACAAAGGACAATTGTTCCTGTACCAGTCTCGACTAAATGGAAACTGCAACTATCTAAAACTTGTTTTAATATAAAAACATATTAAGTGTTCTCTGAAGACCTGCTTTGTTCAAATCTTGAAACAAAAACATGTTATTTGGAGGGAAATATCAAATTAATAGATTAGCAGATTAGTTTGTAAGTGATTGAAAATATTAAAATATATTTTTAAAAATTGTATTTTTAATTGTTCTACTTCCTAGAGTATATTATCATAACTTTGATATATTTAGATGAGAAAGTAGAGTTTATAGTCTCCATGACAAACCAATCATACGTTGGAAAGAGATACCTTTTCTGCAATGGTTGAACAAGTTTTGCTTGATTTCATCTTAGTAATTCAGTTCACATTTCTGCTAAGTTGTTATACATGAAACTCTATAAAGGAAAACTATATTATTTAATCAATTTCCTTTTTCTAATAAAAACATACCAAATTTATTTTTATATGCATCTCCGAGTACTCAACTCAAAAAAATTTGCAATGATTATAAATTGTGTTTTAGTACTGATAATATGAGAAATTCTAATGTTCCTTGGTGAATTAGATAAAAGAAAATGATAGTACAATCCCATTAATTTTTTTTTTGCAAGAAGCAAATAAACAAGCAAGCAAACAAAAATCTGCTTCTGACAACTGTCTCCCAACCTACTTTAAAAACCTTGGTTTTAGTATCATTTGCATTGCTGATGGAAGTTCTT